GAAACCAAAAGATATTATTGTTAGAGTAGTTATAACGACTTAAAAGTTGGATCATTTTTTTAATTTTTCTATAAAACGAAAAAGTTCAACAGATGCATATAATCCAAGCTATTTGTGCCACAAGTGAAAAAGGCATTGGATCCAAGCTATATGCATGAGTTTATTTGTGTGTGTTTTTGACTCCATTGTGGACGTGGAAAGAGATCATATAGTTTATTTAAAGAACCAGTATAAACTATTTTGAGGATAACCAACCGGCAGAACATTGGATGATGACCTGCTTAAGTATCTCCATGACCAATCAAGGCTAGAAGCATTCTTTCATAGTTCCCAGAGTTATCACCCTTAATGGCAGCATCCAGTGGTTCGCTGTTTCTTCGATAGTATTCTTCCTTAATGTGTTTCATATCAACATCAGCTCTGGTAACAACTACTCTGGTAAGGGCTTCCTCATCAATTCCAAGACCCTTCACAGACAGTCGTAGAACTTCCTCAAAATACTTCTCAGGGTAGGTCAGGCACTTGATTGTCGCTCTCAGTAACTTCAAGTACTCGTCCTTTGGATCTGTTTTTAACTCCTGGAAAAGATCAGGCTAGTATTACTCCTGGTACTGCAATTGCATATTTAGCAATAATGCTCACAAATAATACAAATGACTGGGAAATGAGGGACTGTGTCGATTTGATCAAAACAACTTAGTTTTAAGAATCCTTCTGGTTTGGTAAATCAACTATGAAAGAAATGTGATTTGTCATTAGTATCCATATAAATGTAGATGAAAAATAAACTTTGGTAAATAAATGAAGAGAATATTACAAGTTTCAGTAATGCACAATGCTGGAGATGAAGAGAGAGAAATGAAAGTACTTCGTTAATGGAATGTCCAAATAGGTCATGGTACTGGTTAAGTGTAGCATTGATTTGTGCCTTGCCCCTAGTGGTTAAAATTCTGATTTCTCTAAAATCTTCTCATTAAGTATTTTTGCCTCTTATTTGGCAAGAGTCATATCAACCTCAGCTCCCTGGTACCGATATGCAGTAACAAGAGGTACCAAAAGCTGTGAGAAAAAGATGTTAGAGGTCTCAGCATACAAATTATTCACCAAAAAAAAAAAAAATATGTACTACTTTAAGAATGTATTATCTGCTAGAGGTAATAATTGTAAAAAAAAAAAAAAAAGGAATTTTAAAGGAGAGAAGGAGAAAAGGTGATTAGGACTAAGAGGAAAAGAATTCTCAACACCAAGGATAATGCTTCAGGAGCAGATAACCAAACTTTGGTATGCTAATTTGCGTGTCTTATCCGGTGAAGATAGATTTCATGTTACTAACAGATTATCCATTTTTTTTATGGAGCACAATTTTTCCAAACCAGTATTAACAAAATCCCCCAGGCACAGAAATGAAACTGACATTACAAAGATTCAACCATTCTGTGGTGACAAAGTAACTGTATGTTTCCTATTGGATTAATTAGAGTTGATGAAAGCAGGAGAAATGATAAAATGCCAAACCTTACGAAAATCTCCAGTTATTTAATGTGCCACGTCTTCTTCAAGAGATCTCTTATAACGAGCCAGATAAGCTTTTCTTACAAGGAATACTTCATGTGAAGTTCTTGTGCAGGCTATTTCCATTATAACGTGATGACCTGCAGCCCTCTTTCTTAGAGATTCATTCGCTAGAAGTGCATCACATTCTGCAGGATCCATTATCCGTAGAAGCACTATTCTCTATTAACAACGCATTAGTTTAGTTTATTTCATAATCATACTTAGTATTAACCTACCAAAAGCTCAAGCGAGCTACCCTCTTTAGCACACAAAACTTAGAAGTATATATGTTCATTTGAGAGACGTGTTATCCATTTTTGTAACGGCTCCGGAAATATTAAAATGAAATGAGTATTTAAATATATCAAATGCGGAAGCGAGATCAAAATTTCAGTTAACATCCCTTACACGAAAAAACCAAAAACGTACTTAAAATATAAAAGATTAAACTAACTAAGAGAGAAACTCGAAAATAAAACTATGAGTATGACTACAGAGTCTCTAGGCATCCCCTTCGTCGTCCTCCTGCGGAACGGGCTCGGGAACCATGTCTTCCTGATCTGAAATGGTTAAATAAGGAGTGAGCTACACTAGCCCAGTAAGAAC